CTCTCCGTCCCTCTCCTCTCCTCTCTTCCCCTTCCCCTTCCCCTTCCCCTCAATCCCTTTCCCAGCGCCTCCACCAGCACAAACAGCAATTCCCACCCCGCAATCCCCACCCAGACCAAGGAAACCCCGTTCCCTCCAGAGCTCCCCAAATCCCCAAATCCAGCTCCATCCCGCTTTTCCCGCACTCACACATTCCTTCTCCCACTTGAGGGAGGTCTCTGCCACCATTCCCTGCAGCCTGGCCTCCAGCCTCCTCTTATCCGACGCCTGCCGCTGCAGCTTCTGGCTCTTGCTCTCCAGCTCCTGCTGCAGGTTCCTCTTGTCCTCCTCGTAAATCGTGGCCGTCTTCTCCAAGATCTCCATCTGCAGGAAGAGAGGAATTTCCCGGGAATACAACCCTTTAATCCAGGAATTCCCGCTTGTGTTTCTCCCCTGTTTTCCATCCTGAACCGCTCCGTTTGGTGCTTTAAAAGCTTTCCCTCCTAACAAATCCTGGGAAATCTTTGGTTAAAAATTCCCCCCGAATGTTTATTCCTGATGGTGAGGGATTTGCCAAGTGATCCATAAAATATAAAAAAACCAGGGATTTGTGCTCCAGAATGACCCCACTGACCTTGTACTCCAAGGTTTTAATCTTCTTCTCCAGCCTCTCCATCTCCGTCCTCTGCCCCGTGATGGTTTTCTCCTTCTCAGCCAGTTTTCCCTGGATATAATTTTCCTTGGATGCCACACTGGAGTCAAACTCTTGCAGCATCGTTTTGAAGGCAAGAACTGGAAGAGAACCGTGATATTTCCCATTTTATCTTCTCCCTTATCTCCAGAACATCCAAGGCTTTTTTTTCCCAACAACTCTAAAGCCTAAAATTCCTCTAAAAAAAAAAAGAAAAAAGCTTGAAACGACCAATCTGAACAAAAAAACTGGGACAAAAAAAAGAAGGGAGGATCCTTTGAGGAATAATAAAGGCACCAAATGGGAATTTTGCCCTGATGATCCCATTTGGGATGAATTCCCACCGTTTTTGGCGAATTCCTCTGCCAGCATCTGCCTCATTTTGTGGCGCTGCTCCAGGGTCTCGATCAGTTTTGGGAGCGTTTGGTCGTCGTTGATGTCCAGGAGCTCGCAGGAAGGCAGGGGAGGGAAGCTCTGGAAAAAGAGCTCGGCAGCAGATTGCTCCTCTGGTCCTGCAGGATGGGAAAATCCCGATGGATGGGGATGGTGGAACACCGGGAATGGTTATGGGGAGCTACGGGTTTCCATAGGAAGTGATGGGAAAGGATTAAATGTGACATCCTGGATATTCCTTGTTTTCCTAAAAGCTGGTCCTGCCCATCCAGGAAGATCCCACAATTTCCTTGGCACAGTTTCCTGGCAATATTGGGACCGTGGATTCATCCCAATCCCGTGGAATTCCTTGGAAACCTCCATGGGGACGCTGCAGAGGGAAGAGCAGCAGCTCCCGGGGCACTGAGGTTCCTCTGGCACAGTCAAGGCTTGATGGAATCGGTTTAAAGTTTCATTCCCAGCCTTTAATTCCTAATGGAAAACTCTGCTGGAATCATGGAATGGTTTGGGTTGGAAAGGACATTAAAAGTGATCCTATTCCATGGGCAGGGACACTTCCAGGGATCCAGGGGCAGCCACAGCTGATCTGGGAATTCCATCCCAGCCCCTCACCGCCCTCCCAGCCTGGCTCCAGAGGGGCTCCCGAGGAGCCCAGGCTGAGCCTGAGGAGCCCAGGCTATGCCCGAGGAGCCCAGGCTGAGCCTGAGGAGCCCAGGCTATGCCCGAGGAGCCCAGGCTGAGCCTGAGGAGCCCAGGCTATGCCCGAGGAGCCCAGGCTGAGCCTGAGGAGCCCAGGCTATGCCCGAGGAGCCCAGGCTGAGCCTGAGGAGCCCAGGCTATGCCCGAGGAGCCCAGGCTGAGCCTGAGGAGCCCAGGCTATGCCCGAGGAGCCCAGGCTGAGCCTGAGGAGCCCAGGCTATGCCCGAGGAGCCCAGGCTGAGCCTGAGGAGCCCAGGCTATGCCCGAGGAGCCCAGGCTGAGCCTGAGGAGCCCAGGCTATGCCCGAGGAGCCCAGGCTGAGCCTGAGGAGCCCAGGCTATGCCCGAGGAGCCCAGGCTGAGCCTGAGGAGCCCAGACTGAGCCCAAGGAGCCCAGGATGAGCCTGAGGAGCCCAGGCTATGCCCGAGGAGCCCAGGCTGAGCCTGAGGAGCCCAGACCGAGCCTGAGGAGCCCCATCCATGCTCAAGGAGCCCAGGCTGAGCCCGATGAGCCCAGGCTGAGCCCAGGCCGAGCTCAAGGAGCCCCAGCCATGCCCCAGCCCTCACCTGCCGCCACGGGGCCGCCCCGGAGCTGCAGCTTGCGGGAGAGCTCCTCGCGGAAGGCCTGGTTGCGCAGGCGCCGCCCCGGCGTCAGCCCGCACAGGGGCCGGTCCACGGGCCGGGCCACCTCCACCTCCTGCGTCATCTCGGCAAAGCGCATCACTTGCTGCAAGGCAACGGGGGGTGATGGAACACAGAAACCTCATCGGTGGTTCAGCAAAAGATTCTGAAAATAGGGAGCCCATAATGGAAATAGAAATGAGAACTGGGTTTGAGACACAGACCCTAAGCCAACAGCCCGGGCAGCTGGAGGAGAATCCCTGCTGGTTGAACAATCCCCTTCTGCTGACAGAAGGGAACCCAAAGGTGGAAGCAGCAGGAGGAGAATTTGAAGAGCAGCTTTTAGAGTTTAAAACGGAGCACTGTGATGTGTTTGGGTCAGAGATGCAAGGTATTCACCTTGATCTGTGATGCCTAACTCTGACACCCAAGAAAACACCGAATTTCCTGGAGCACCGTGAAAACAACTGTTAAATCGAAAAACTGAGAGTGGCAGTGTGGAAATTAGAGTTTTCTTAAGTCACTGGGTGAAAAAGTTAGAGTTTAAACTAGTTTAGAAAACAAAAGACAAGATGGAGGATTTAAAGTGTTGTCTCTTCTTCTTCTGTAGGTTTTTGGGTAATAATGAGTGATTGGATAAGGAATGTCCCAGTGCAGCACACAGGTGTGGGGTCGTTGGGTCACTAACAAAAACAATTTACTTGGCATTTGTTAATTGGGTAAATGGAAATATAAAAAAACCTTGAAGAAGTTCTTTATTAGCCATTTTGCACCTTTCTGTCTCAGTGCACGTGTAATGCAGATAAAAGAGGAGTAAAGAACCCAGAACAAGAGAAAATCGCCTCTCTCTCATCAGTCTCAGCCCAAGGGGGAAACAGAAGCCAGCCACCAGGACAGAAATGCAGCAGTTCCTATAGGCTGTGTGTAAACCCTATAGAACCTGGGTCACTGCTGGCTACTGGGAATTAGAACATTCTAGAAAGGGAGAATGGATTGTAAGGAGAACTTGGCTCTCTTCATTTCTCTTCATTTCCTTCCCCTTTCTCTCTCTCCTTAATTACCTTCTGCCCTCATGCTCTCAGCCCCTCTCCCCTCTCTGTCCCTCTTTGGGCACGATCGGGCTGGGGCTGGCAGCGCAAACGGATCTCCTCCACCTCCCACTTAAATAATAAATAACTTTATAATATTATTATAATATTATAATTATATAATATATATAATTATAATATATATTATATTATTATAATATTATAATGTGTATATATTATAGATATTAATATCATTAAATCATAAACTGATTATCCCAAGGGCAGCCTGGCTTGGAGAAGTCTCGCCTGTTTTACTCCTACAAACGGGAAGAAAACGCCCAGAGCCGGGATGGGAGCAAGGAGGAATGAGGGGGCTGAAATAGCTGCAGGAGCCCCAAAAGCTTGGGCAGGGACAGCTGGAATTCTTGGAGCAACAGGGATTAAATATTGAAATACGGCTCTGTGGAATTCTCTGAGGGAGGAAAACCTTTCCCACTTTCCAAGCATGGAGCAGGTGCAATTTGAACAGGAGAAAGAAAGATTTGGAGAGTGGATTTATCCCAAAAAGTTGTAATTGAAGCGCTCAAGCGACAATTATAATTCCTTCTATCTCCTGGAGTGGGAGAATCCAGGGAAAAACAGGAGAAGAAGAGCAGGATGGAACGGGAAAGGGGAACTCACCAGGCTTTCCTCGTAGTCCTCAGCCTTGGGATTCACACACACGATCATCCGGACTTTCCCTTCTCCGTCGAAATAGTTCTTGAAGAGATGAGTCAGTTTGGAATCTCTGTATGGAACCATCTGGAATGAAGGCCAGGGAAAAGCCAGTGAGTTTTCCTTCTCCGGGTGAGGCATTCCGAGGGGGATCAGGGAAGGGCTGAACAAACCTTGTTTGTTCCGTACAATTGGTTCTCCCGCAGAACCTCGATGCACGTCCTCAGCGTCATCAGTGACTGGTTGATATTCCCTAAAAAAGGCAAACACAAGGAAAAAAAAAATAAAAAATAAATCCACGAGCAGCCCTTGGATCAGATTCCCAAATTCTCCAGGAGAATAAATTGCCTAATTAACAATATTTGTTAATAACTGCTCTAGTTAGCTGAGGCGGCAGAAGTGCTGCTGCAAACTTGTGCTTTCCAAGATTTGGGGTCATCAAATCCAAACTGATCCTAACAGAGCGCTTCAAGAATTCCTGGGATTCTTCCCGTGGAGAGAGGATTAGCGGGGGGGTTAATGAGGGGGGTTAACGAGGGGGGTTAATGAGGGGGGTGCTCCTACCTGCCTCCCGCAGCCGGCTCCCCTCGGCTTTGGTCCTGGTGGTTCTCTCACTTCCTGCCAGATCCACCAGGGACAGCTGGCTCAGCGTGATCTGCTCCTTTTCCTGGGATACAGAAGGAATCCTGGATCCCTCCACACCCCCTGGAAAGCCCCATCCCAAAGGCCAATTCCAAAGGAAGTGCTGGAGCCGAGTTCAGAGGGCTTGGCACAGCCCAGGGAGCAGCACAGATTTTTTTTGGGAAGTCGGGCAGATCCCTTCTCCCTCGGGATTGAAAGCTGTTGGATCATCCAAATTCCCAACGTTTTAGATTCCCAGCCAAAGGAAAAGGAGGAAAACCGAAGGAATCGGCAGCTTCGCCCTCTGTTTTAATGCCAAAATTTATGATTATTCCTCAAAATTTATGATTATTCCTCATAATCCTCATAATTTTGCCTCCAAACTTGAGGCAGGAGGCAAATCCCATGAAATTCTCCTGGAATGACCCGGAGCTCACCTGGAGCACGTTGTCCCCGTCCGCATCCAGAGGAGCCTGCGCCAGTTTGATGATGAAGACGGAGTGGGAGCGGCTGGATTCCCGGTTGAGCTGCGTGTTGGCGATGCGCCGCTTCTTCTGCCCTGCTCACACAACCCAAAATTCCCAGCGTTTGGCAACAAAAATTCCCGCTGCTTTCCCGCCGTTCCCGCCTCCTCCAGCGCCAGGCCGTGAGGGATTTCACATCATCGGGAATGGGGAGGCCCTAAAGGCCCAGAGAAGCCGTGGATGCTCCAGGCCGAGGATCCAGCGGAATTTCCTTGTTCATGGATCATGTTTAAGGTTTGAGGGATGAGGGATCAGAATTCCAAGGTTTTTTTTTACCTCTCCAAAAGACTTCGAAAGCTTCCTCCGTGGATTTGACCTCCACTTCAGTGCAGCCCGTCACGTACATGTTGTGGTTCTGGTCTTCCCGGAGGATTTTGGACTGGGGAGGTCTTTGGGATAGCGGGAAAGAGGGAAAACAAATAAATTTCATTTATTTATTCATGACAGTGGAGCTCCCTGTGCAGCTTCCGGCCATGCGGGTTTTCTCGGGGGGAAAAAATTTTGGGGGGAAAAGGTCAAAAGTTTGGAGGGAAAATTCAGAATTTGGAGGGGAAATGTCAAAAGGGGGAAAAAAGGTCAAAATTCAGGGGGAACAGGTTAAAAATCCTGAGGGGAAAAGGTGAAAAATCCTGAGGGGAAAAGGTGAAAACTCTGAGGGAAAATGGTCAAAAATTGTGAGGGGAAAAGGTCAAAATTCTGAGGGGAAAAGGTAAAAAATTCAAGGAGAAAAGGTCAAAATTTCAGAGGAAAAATTCAGAGTTTGGAGAGAAAACATCACAAGGGGGAAAAAAAAGATCAAAATTCAGGGGGAACAGGTCAAAAATCTGAGGGGAAAAGGTGAAAAATCCTGAGGGGAAAACGTCAAAACTCTGAGGGAAAATGGTCAAAACTTGTGAGGGGAAAAGTTCAAAATTCTGAGGGGAGAATGTCCAAAAATTCAGGGGGAAAAGGTTAAAATTCTGAGGGGAAATTCAGAATTCAGAGGGAAAATGTCACAAGTCTGAGGGGAAAAACTCAAAATCGTGAGGGGAAAATGTCCAAAAATTCAGAGGGAAAATGGTCAAAATTCTAAGGGGAAAAGATCAAAATCCTGAGGGGAAAATATCAAAATCCTGAGGGGAAAAGGTCAATATTCAGAGGGGAAAAGGTCAATTTTCCATATAAAAGCTGGAAGAGGGAGTACAGGACATGGACACACAGGCAGGATTAGTGACACTCCAGCTACTGCTCTAATTAGCAGCTATTTAATTGTAATTAATTGCTTTGGTGGCAGTATTGCTGTTCTACAAGCACACAGAAGCAAGGAGAGCATCCTAGATTTCCTAGGAAAGCAAGGCAGGGAATTTTCTGCTTCTACTCGAGGGAAAGAGCGCTGGAATAACAGGAATAAGACATTGGACACATACACAAAGTCTCCATTTCTCACAGGGGTGTTGCAACTGTTCCACCTACCAAAAAAAACGGGGAAAAAAATATTAAATCCTTGATTTCTGCCTCAAGTCTTTGCACACTGCAGCTTCCAGAGGGAGAAATAATCCCGGATTTAAATTTCATTTCTTTTTTTTTTTTTAGGATGGGATTTGGGAATAAGCACCAAACCACTGAATGGTTTTAAAGCATTTCCAGAGATTCAAATCCTTGTGGAATGAGGATCCTGGAGACAGCTCCCAGTTTGCTTTGCCCTCGTTAGTCTTTGTTAATCAACCACTCCTTAATGAACACAGGACTGAGGGGCTCCTTTCATGGAGTTGGAATTTCAATCCATGGATTCCAAGAGGAATTTGTAGATTTTTTTCCTACTGGTTTTCTACATCACAAGTAAAAATATATGTTTTTGGAAAAAAACATCCCTAAAAAATATCCCTAATTCCTGGTTTTGTGGGAATGACTGATATCAAGTGGAGCAATATGGAAACAGGGAGACCCAAACCAGTGTTTTGCACTGTTTCCAGGGGAAAAAAAAGCTATGGAATGGTTTATTCCCAGTTGAAACCACCTATTGGAATAGATTGGGAATTTTAGTGGGATAAAATTGCCCAATTCATTAAACATTCGCTTATTAATCACCCAGCCTAACAAGGAAGGGAGCACCTCGGCCATCAGCACTGCCACGTTCCCGGCTGGATTTCTTTCCATGTATTTATAACAGCAATTCCCAGGAATTCTGAGCCGATCTCCCTAAGCTTAGAACCCAAAAAAACCACAGTGTAGATCCTAAAAAAACCCTCCCAAGGATGGGGAACACGGCAATTCCCAAACTCGCTGGGGTCTGACGGTCAGAGCAGGAACGGGACACGGAGACACGGCAGCCATTGCTGGCATCCCCCTCTTCCAGCATTTTAGCGCCAATTCCCAAGCCCAGGCCGGGCAAATCCCGGAATTCCCGACTCACTTGGGTTTGATGGAGTCGAAGGGAGCCTCCTCCAGCAGGTCGTAGATGTAGTTGTTGTAGATCTCGACGTAGGAGACGAAGACGGCGTAGACGTTGTCCTCGTCCACCTCCTCCGCCCGGCAGCCGTCGTGGGCGTCGATCATGTCGGCAAAGTCGGGATCCAGCTGCTTCCTGTGGGAAACAACGGGATTTACCACGGGAATCCCCGGGATCCGCAGCCTCGGTGGGGAAACCTGTGCTTTATTTATTGCTGTTGTTGTTGTTATTAATAAGGCTGAGTGTGGGGTGATATCGGCGTGAAGGTCCCTTGCAAATCCTGAGGGGAAAAGGTAAAAAATTTCTGAGGGGAAAGGCTGAAAAATCTGAGGGGAAAGGTCAAAAATTCTGAGGGAAAAGGCTGAAAAATCTGAGGGGAAAGGTAAAAAATTTTGAGGGGAAAGGTCACAAATTCTGAGGGAAAAGGTCAAAAGTTCTGAGGGAAAAGATTGAAAATTCTGAGGGAGAAAAGGCCAAAATTCTGAGGGGGAAAGGGACAAAATTTCTGATATAAAAGGTCAAAAATTCTGAGGGGGAAAGGGCCAAAATTTCTAACATAAAAGGTCAAAAAATCTGAGGGGGAAAGGGCCAAAATTTCTGAGGGAAAGTTCAAAAACTCTGAGGGGGAAAAGACAGAAAATTCTGGGGCAAAAGGTCCAAAATTCTGAGGGGGAAAAGGCCAAAATTTTTGAGGAAAAAGTTGAAAATTTCTGAGGGAAAAGGCCAAAACTTCTGAGGGAAAAAAGGCAGAAAATTCTGAGGAAAAAGGCCAAAAATTCAGGAATAAAAGCAATTGAATGGCTTCCTCCAAGCTGAAATCTCCTGTTAGAGCAGCAGGAAGAGATCGGGAATTCCAACGGGATACAATTCCCTAATTAATCCAATTATTTTCCAATTTTCCCCCCAATTTTTCCTTCATTTCTTCCAGGGAAGAGCCCCAGAGCAGCGCAGTCCCATTCCTAGGGAATAAATTCCGGTTTTCCCGGAGTCACTCACTTTCCAGCCGGAGTTTTTGGGATGGGCAGAGCCTCTCTCCTCTGGCGTTCCAGCAGAGCCTCCACCTCGCTCTGCACATCCACCCCGTTCTTGTCATCCAGCTTGAAAACCTGTGGGAAAAACCAGGAATTTCTGCCAATTCCAACATCCAGGTGCTGGCCAACAAAGCGTTCTTTGATTAATTAATGAGTCTGATTAGGCTGGGATTAATTTATTATTAATTCCATGCCCCTCGCTGGCGCTCGACCCAGCATGGTCTGAGAGAAACCGTTTGGAAAATGGTTTAGGAAAGCTCCCAAGGATGAGAATTCCAGGATTATTTTGGTGTATTTTTAAGCAGCACAAGTGCACACCTTTGGAAAAAATATCCCTAATTTCACCAGGAGATAATTAGTTTTTGGTTTTGTGGGAATTGCTGATATCAAGTGGAGAAGTATGGAAATATGGGGCACCAAACCAGTGTTTTTCAGTGTTTCCAGGGAAAAAATAATCCATGGAATGGCTTCTTCCATGTTGAAATCACCTGGTGGAACAGCAGGAATAGATTGGGAATTTCAGTGGCATACAACTGCCTAATTAATTAGAGATCTGCTTACTAATCACCCATCCTAATGAGGAAGGGAACACCTTGCCATCGCTACTGAAACTGGAAAATAGTGAAAAAGTACTGGAAAATATTGAAAAGTACTGAAAAAAATACTGGAAAATACAGGAAAAAAATACAGAAAAAATACTGAAAAATATTGAAAGAGTAATGAAAAATACAAAAAAAATACAGAAAAAATACTGAAAAATATTGAAAGAGTAATGAAAAAATACAGAAAAAAATCTGAAAAATTCTGAAAAAATCTGGAAAAATGCAGGAAAAAAATACTGAAAAAATACTGAAAAAACTCTGAAAAAATATTGCAAAATACTGGTTAAAAAAAAATAATTCAAAAATCCTGAAAAATCCTGAAAAAAATTACTGGAAAATATTGGAAAATCCTGAAAAGAATACTAAGAAAATACTGAAAAAATTTTAAAAAATACCAGAAAAAAATCTGAAAAAATAATGAAGAATTCTGAAAGAAATCTGAAAAAATACTGCAAAATACTGGGGAAAAAAAAACATGAAAAATACAGAATACAGAAAAAAATACAGAAAAATCATTATGAAAAAATACAGAAAAAAACCCCAGAAAAATACAGAAAGAATTCTGAAAAAATTCCTGCCTGGATTCCTTTCCAAGTGTTTTTAACAGATTTTTCCGAGGATGGCCTCGAGGAACAAGCACCAAACCACTCAAGAACCATTCCCAGAAATCCAAACCCTTTTGGAACGAGGACCCCGGAGTTGGGATTTTTCCTCTTCCGAGCCCTCCGGTGCCGGGTTTGGAGCAGAGATCCATGGATTTGGGGAGGATTGGGAGGCACTCACGAATCTCTTGGCCTGGAAGGGGCCGATGCTGTTGAAGATCATGGCCAGGCAGCGGGGCAGGAGCCCCCCGTCCCCGGGAGATCCCGTCATGGTGTGCGTCTTCCCGCTGCCCGTCACTCCGTAGGTGAACAGGAGACCTGGGAATGCCGGGAAAAGGGAGAAATCGAGGGAATGTTCCAGGCTGGATGGGGCTCGGAGCACCTCGGGATAGCGGGATGGGATGAGATTCCCGTAGGTTTGATGGTTTTGGGGAGTTTTTTTTTTTGGAGTTTGTTGATTTTTTTGGGGAGTTGAAAATGGGCTTTGCCAAAAGCCCGGAATTCTGAATTCCCAATTTGCACCTCCCACAAACTGCTGGGAGAAACTGGGAGAAGGGTTTGGATGCATAATCCATGGAATTCCAGGGACACCTCCTGCTAAGGCAGCTTGCTGCAACAACACTTCCATGGTACTGGGTCATCCATTCCCATCCCAGGATTCCAGAAGGTTCCAGGGTGTTATGTGAGGAGCTGAGCCACAATTCCAACCAAACCTCAAGAACACTGGATTCCCATTCCCAACCAAAACATTCCAGGATTCCAGAAGGTTCCAGGGTGCGGTGTGAGGAGCTGAGCCACAATTCCAGCCAAACCTCGGGAACACTGGATTCCCATTCCCACCCAGAGCATCCCAGGGCTGCCATTCCGTAAGGAGCTCCCTCGGGAATGGCTTCCTCCCAGCTGACATCTCAGCAGGAACAGTCTGGGAATTCCACCGGGACATGATTCCCTAATCAATCCATTCTCTGCCAGGTTTTTATCCTGATTTTTCCTTCATGCCAGGAGACCGGATTCCAGAGGAACCTTGGGATGGGGGGATTCCTGGGAATGGGAGTTGTGGGAATAGGGAGTTGTGGGAATGGGAATGGGAGTTCTGGGAATGGGAGTTCTGGGAATGGGAGTTGCTCTCACCATTCTTTCCACGGATCAGATCCTCCACCAGCGGTTTGGCCACCACGTCAAAGAGCTCCTTCTGCTCCACCAGCGTCCCAAAAACTTCCTTGAAGGAATACTGCGTCTGCAAAAAATTCCAGGGAAAAAGATTCCCACATCCAGAGCGATCCCACGGAGCGGAGAATTCCCAAAAAAGCTGGGATTTCCTTGGAGTTCTGCCTGGAATCCAAGCCAAGGAACATCCACAGTGGGGCTGATTCCTCTTGGGATTTTATTTTGGATCTTGAGATTTTGGTTGGAAATTCCCGGCTGGTTTTATTGTTTTTTAAGGAATTGTTTTAATGGATTTCCAGGGGAATTCCAGTGCCATTTCAGGGGATCCCAGGGCCATTCCGGGGGATCCCAGGGCCATTCCGGGGGATCCCAGGGCCATTCCGGGGGATCCCAGGGCCATTCCGGGGGATCCCAGGGCCATTCCGGGGGATCCCAGGGCCATTCCGGGGAATTCCAAGGGGTCCCAAGGCCATTCCAGGGAATCCCAGGGTTATTCCAGGCCCATTCCAGAGAATTCCAGGCCATTCCAGGGGATCCCAGAGCATGCCAGGGGATCCCAGGGCCATTCCAGGGGATCCCAGGGCTATTCCAGGCCCATCCCAGGTCCATCCCGGGCACATCCCAGGGAATTCCGGGTGGGAATGGCGCTCACCTCGCGGTACTCGCCGTTGCGGCAGACGCGGAAGGCGTCGGGCGGGTGCAGCTGCACCGCGGTGTCGCTGACGACCTCGATGCAGCACTCGTGATCCGCACGGCTCAGCGGCCGCACCCGGCAGTATACCTGGGAATAACCACGGGAATGATGGGATAAACGGGATAAACAACGGGAATAGCAACGGGAATAACCACGGGAATGATGGGATAAACGGCAGTACACCTGGGGGAAATAACGGGAATAACCACGGGATAAACAATGGGAATAACGGGATAAACAACGGGAATAACCACGGGATAAACAACGGGAATAACCACGGGAATGATGGGATAAACGGGAGTACACCCGGGGGGAAAAACAACGGGAATAACCACGGGATAATCAATGGGAAAATAACGGGATGAACAACAGGAATAATGGGATAAGCAATGAGGAAATAACGGGATAAACTACGGGATAAACTACGGGATAAACAATGGGAGTACACCTAGGGAAATAATGGGAATAACAATGGGAACGATGGGATAAACAGGAGTACACCTGGGGAAAACAATGGGAATAACGGGGAAAACAACAGGATAACAATGGCAGTACACCTAGGGAAAAACAACGGGAATGACGGGAAAACAACGGGATAAACAACGGGAAAATAACGGGATAAACGGGAAAACAACGGGAGTACACCTGGGAAAAATGGGAATGGGACAGGGAGTACACCTGGGAAACGGGAATAGGAAAAATGGGAGTACACCTGGGAAAAAACAACGGGAATGGGACAGGCAGTACACCTGGAAAATCAGGAATGGGAGCGGGAAAAGTGGGAATGGGACAGGGAGTACACGTGGGAGCAGGAAAAACAACCGGGAATGGGAGCGGGAATGAGCCCGGAGTACACCTGGGAACGGGAAAAAATCCGGGAATGGGACAGAGAAAAACCGTGAAATGCGACAGGGAATGAGCCCGGAGTACACCTGGGAGGGGGGGGAAACCGGGAATGGGACAGGGAATGAGCCTGGAGCAGGGAAAAACCGGGAATAAGCCCGGCAGTACACCTGGAATGAGGGAAACAGGGAATGATCCCGGCAGTAAAAGCGGGAATGCTGGAGATGGGAATCGGGGGAACTGGGGATGAATTCCTCACCCCCACCGGGTCCCTCAGCGCGGGGTTCGTGCCCTTCCTCGGCCTCCGCGGCGTCCTGGCCCTGCTGAGGGGAGAGAGCCGTGAGGGGACACGGGAAAACTGGGAACGGGGAAAACGGGAAAACTGGGAACGGGGAAATGGGAAAGGTGGGAAAGGGGAAATGGGAAAGGGGAAATGGGAAAGGTGGGAACGGGGAAACAGGAAAGGCCGGGAAGCAGCGGCGGGAAGCGGGAGAGGAGAAGGGGAAAGGGGAAAGAGCCGAGGGGAGAACGGGAGGAGCGGGGGGAGCGCGGGGATGGGGAGGATCGGGAAGGGGATGGGGAGGATCGGGAAGGGAAGTGGAGCCAGCCCGGGGATCCCCCCCGTGCCGCCCCCGGGGGCTGTGGGGTCACTCACGCCGCCTTCATGTCGCGGGTGCCGCCGGCTCTGTCGCGACAGGGCCCGGGGGGGGATCGCGCTCCGGAGCCGGCACCGAGCGGCCGCCGCGCGCCAGCCGCGATTCAAATCCGACCAATCGGAGCGCGCGCCGTTGTCGACGTCATCACGCACGGCGTCGCCGTGGCGATGCGAAGGGGCGCGGCTCGGGGAGAGGGCGCCCCCTGCTGGTGGCGGTGGTGGAAAGGGCGGAGCCGCGGGTTCGAATCCCGGCCCCGGCAGATCCCGGTTTTTTTCCAGGGGTTTTTCCCTTTGGATTCCAATCTTTCAGGAGAGGAGGTGGAATGCAGAGCGTTGGCAGGGCCAGGGATTCCCCGCGTGCCTGCCGACAGGTGAATCAGTCACTTAATTCCCAAGCCGATGGAAAGGAGTGAATTCCCAACCCGCGGGAAATGGAGAGCGGGAGATTCCAGAGGGCCTTTCCCCATCCCAATCCCGGCATTCCCGGCATCCAGCGGCAGCTTTTCCGGGAATTCCCAGCCGGGAATTCCTTTTGAGATCCACGGAAATCTCCCCTTTCCCGACCATTCCCTCTCCAGCTCTCCTGGATTCCCGGGAGAGCCTCAGGGATTCCCTGGAGCTGCATTTCCCCATTCCCAGCATTGGGATCGTTCCCTTAAATCCCTCACTTCACCCATCCCAAAAAACTCCGGAGCAGCTGGATTCCAGCAGGAATGAAATTCCCAGCAAGAATAATTCCCAGGAGGAATGAAATTCCCACCAGGAATCCACCACTCCTCCCTCATGCCCAAATTCACGGGAAAAATCCCCATTTTCCCACTTTTCCACAAGAAAACCTCGAAGCCGCCACAGGAATGACGGATTAAAAAAAACCCTTGGAATTCCTTTGGAAAACAAAACTCCCGGAAAATTCCCAAAATAAACAACGGAGCCATGCCCAGGAATTTTTTTTTTTTTTTTTCCTTAAGATAAAAAAATTTATTTCCCATTCTTAGAAAGCTTCCCGAGCATTCCCGGTGTCCCGCAGAAACGGAGGAGAACCTCTTCCCGCCAAAAAAGAAAAAAATATTCCGGAGGGGCGGAATTACAAAACGAATCCCGAGCACTTTGTGCTTCCAGAGCTTCCCGGAGGAGCGGCCGGCCCGGAGCAGCCGGGAAAACCATTATTGCATATTTTCCATGGGGAAAATCCCGGGAAATCCAACGAAATCCCAGCCAAGCCACACCCGGGGAGGAGAACGGGAATGAGAGGATTCTGGGGAATGAGAGGATTGCAGGGAATTCTGGATTCCAGGGAATGTCTGGATTCCAGGGAATGTCTGGATTCCAGAGAACGCCAGATTCCAGGGAATCCAGATTCCAAGGAATGAGTGGATTCCAGGCAATGCTGGATTCCTGGGAAGGCTGAATTGCAGGGAATGCCGGATTCCAGGGAACGCCAGATTCCAGGGAATGTCTGGATCCCAGGGAATTCCGGATCCCAGGGAATTCCGGATCCCAGGGAATTCCGGATCCCCGGGAGGGTTGTGCTTGTGCTGTTGGGGCAGGGGAGCCCCGGCAAGGGGATCCCGTGGGAAGAGCCAACGGAAAATCCGGGATCAAAGCCGACCTTGGTCCCGAAGATCTCCGTGAATTTGAAGCTGGGAATGAACAAAGAGATCCCAAACTGGAAGGAATTCCATGAAGTTTTGAGGAATTTTTGGATTCCATGAGGTTCCGAGGCTCCGCGGCCAAGGATCCTCTTCCGACGCACGAGGGAACGGAAGGAATATCGGGAATTCCCGGCGGATTCCCCACGGAATCACAGCCTCTGGGGATTCCCGGGAGCTCCTCTGGGAAGAGACGGAAGGACAACCTTGGAACGCCCATCCCAAACTTCCGGAGCGGGAAAACCAGCACCAATTCCCAAAAAATCCTGCCCGAGAGGAATTCCGGCCTCCGAAAGGCACCGAAGGCAACCCGGAGCCTCTCCCGGTTTTCCAAGCGGGAAAACGACGGAAGGAACAGGCGGGGGGAGGATGGAGGGGGATTTTTTGGGAAGGACGGAAAAGTCACTCCAGGACGGGCGGGAAATGAAGGAAAAGCCTCCAAAAATGAAAGCGACGGGAAGATGGAGACGGGCGTTGTCCCAAATCCCGGGATTTTGGGATTGGGATGAGCTCCGCCGTGGGACGGGAGCGCCGGGGATTCCCAAATCCCGGGATTGGGCAGCAGGGGGATCACGGGATCATGGAATGTTTGGAGGAGGGACCTTAAAGCTCATCCCATTCCATAGGGAGCTCCCGCTGCTCCACGTCCCAGGGATCCAGAGGCGGCTTCTCTGGGAATTCCAGCCCAGGGAGAGCTGGAAAAGCCTCTGGGATGGAGCTGGGAAAACGCGGGATGGGCTGGAGCAGGAGAAAAATGGCAATTCCCGAATTCCCGAATTTCCTGAGGGACTCCAGGTCCCGCTTGAGCCATTCCCAAAAACGTCCCCAGAGCTCCGAGGAATCTCCAGATGGAATTCCAAAATCCCACAGAAAACATGGAGATCCAGGATACGGGATCCCAGCTCCCAGGGAATTCCAGTGACCGGGATATGGAATCCCAGCTCCCAGGGAATTCCAGTGACCAGGATACGGGATCCCAGCTCCCAGGGAATTCCAGTGACCGGGATACGGGATCCCAGCTCCCAGGGAATTCCAGTGATTGGGATATGGATCCCAGCGCTGTGCGCTCCAGGCTCCCACTTGTGCTTCCATGACGCCGGCCACGTGTTTTCCATGAAAAATCCCTCCAGCAGCTCCAGGATCTCCGGGCAGAGAATTCCAAGCACGGATCTCTCATCCCGAAAAGGCCGATCCCGAGGAACAGCCTCCCCGGCTCCG